AATCTCTAAGTATTTTTAGTTTTGAGAAGCTTTACTTGGGCAGGGAAAAGGTGAAAAAAGATAAAGTAAAAATAAAGTCACACCTAGCCTGGCTCTATCTGCAGCCCACGGAAAATATGTTGGCAGTACATGCTAGTCACATGTAGCATCTTATGACTACTGCAGTAAAAATTATTTACATCACACTTCCACCTTAATATTAATTCTGTGACTGTGCAGCAAGGTGAGGGAATTTCTTTTGTAAAAGGAGCTGTTTCTTTTTTTCTAAGTTTTTCATCCTTGCTTGTTTTTTCAAGTGTTTCTCTATTCTTAGTCTGAAATAAAGAAAAATAACCATTGTTAAGTTTCATTATAGCCCAACCCCAGCTTCTCTCAGTCCATCTCTCTCACACACACAAAAGGCAGTTCTCCATGGCTTCAAAATGAGAAGTATATTCCATGCAAGTTTTACTATCAAATGCTTTACAGAACTACAAGTTACAAGATGCATGACACGGGTAGTATAAATGTCCAAAGTGAACAAACTGAGATCAGAAATGAAAAATGAGAAAATAGGCTTCCATGGGAAAAATGCACAAAATTGTTTTTAAGTTTACAGCAAAAATGTTTCTCCAGTTAATCAACCCTCTACAGTAGGAAACATATTAGATGTGCCAATGGTTTTCAGTAATTGTTCTACTTCTGCTAGCAGTTCAGGGGCCCCAGTTTAAGACTAGTGAAGAACTCATCTCTTAATCATGAGCACTGTTACAGAGCTCAAGCCAGTTTTGTCCCACCTTCACGAATACGTAAGCCATTTAAGAGAAATACAGGGGGCTATTGCTGACAACATTTTGTTTTCCATTGTAAACAGGTCTTGAGTGAAAGACTGTATAGGGACAATAAGGTGCATGACTGATTCCTACATTTGAATTTTAGAAGCATGAATAATTTTTTTACAGCTCCTTTGACTTGTCCTCGAGCAGAAATAGAGTTAAACATGCAAACCACCAGGTTTCTGTCATCATGCACTGGGATCTTGCTAGATGCACTTTTCAATGCAAAATGAAGGGAAGTACCAGCATGGATTAGAGGGAGAAAGCTAGTAAATTTGATCAACAGGAATATATTCCCTGATATTTAATAATCAAACAATGGACATAACTTATTTCAAACAAGTTCTTGATACTCCAAATAGATTAGCAGTTAAAGTTGAAACAGTTAAAATAATTGTGTCTGTTTAGTTTGGAAAAGAGAAGACAGAGGGGAACTGATAAGAGTTTAAGTACTTAAAAAGATGTTACAAAGAGGAGGGAGAAATTCTCCTTGACCTCTAATAAAAGGACAAGCAGCAACGGACTTAAATTGCAGCAAGGGCAGTTTAGGTTGGCCAGTAAGTTTAATTTATCAGTCGAGTAGTCGATGGAATTTCCAACGACTAGTCCATAGGCACTTGTACATTTCAAAGGAGGAATGTGTAAGAGCCCCAATGGGGGCTCTTGTGCATTTCACAGTTGTAACTCTGAATTCAGCCCAAGCCAGCAAGCCGGGCGCCACGCGCTTTGAAATGTACAAGAGCCCGATGTTTCAGCTGAGCAGCGCTGCCACTTTGAAGTACTCCTTCTTCCCTCCCCTTTGCTGCCTCTATCTGATAGAGGAAGCAAAGGGAGGAAGGGGAGAGAAAGGAGAAATTGACTAGTATCCCAGCTAAGGATGGTAAGGACATCATAGCCACCATGTCATCTCCAACAGTTATTCAGCTGTTCCCAGAAACAATTATATACTAGTAATATGACAATGCCTGTTCACAGAACTGGGGCCTTTTACAGATGGACTTTAAAAGATAAGTAATCTTATTGGTTTCAAGGGGACCATACAAAAAGCCTACAGTTAAGCACATGCTTAAGTGCCTGCTTAAATGGTTTTTGTTCAGTGTCACCTCTTCCCCATCCTGTAAGTGGAAAAGAAAATCCACAAGCTACAGAAAGCAATAAGACAGTCTTTAAGAGTGGGAAGAGCTACACTAGTACACAAACAGGGTCAAAGAATTTTCCTTTCCATTTCAAATACTTTACCTGATGAAATGTTTCACGTATGGCAAGTAGAAGAATCTCTTCCTGTTGTATTTTTTGTTTAGGTACCAAGGTATTGGCCACTCTTTGTAATTATACCTGCCAATGAGATACAAATTGGTTACAGTATTATCTAACATTTAGATTCTTGCATCTCAGATTGTCACTAAAATGCTCTTTTTTGTTCAAGTGGGCAAGTACTGTAATCTAGTCCACGGGTTTTCAACATTTTTCTTTCTGTAGCCCCGCCCCCTTCAACATGTTAGGAAAAAGTCCAAGATGCAGGGAGATGGGGACTGGCTCACTCTGGTTAAGGCTCTGCAGTTGGGGGATGGGCAGAAAATAACCCCTTGTGGCCTCCTCCAACTCTGCCCACGGGCTTGAGGCTTCTATCCTAAGGGGTGACTGGAGCTCCTGAACTCCCTGAAACCAGCTTGCGGTTCACCAGGGGGCTGCACCCCTTATTGAGAACTGCTAGTCTAGTCATAACCACATTTTAATGAGGTCACCAACAGTGTTCCCTCTAATCTGTGCGACAGCACAGCTTCACCGGTGATTAATCAGCTCTGCCCAGTTCCGAGCACAGAGCCTCTGACTGGGCCAGGCTGATTAATCACCTGTGAAGCTGTGCTGCTGCACAGGTTAGAGGGAACTGGTCACCAAAGATGGCATTAGGTGCTGGGAAAGCCAGAACCCCAACACACAGGGCCAAAGCCAAAAACCAAGGGCTTTAGCCCTTGAGAGTGCAGCTTGGGGATTGTAACCTATGCAGGAGGCTGAAGCCCTTGGGCTTTGGTCCCCCTGTCCAGGGTCATGGGGCTTGGGCAGGCTCAGGCATTGCTTCCCCTCCCAGGATCATGTAGTAATTTCTGTTGTCAAAAGAGGGTTGTGAAGATTGAGAACACCCGATCTAGTCAATGGACCACAGGACTGGTGATTTGGGTTTTCTTCCCAGCTATGCCACTGGCTTGTTGGGTGACCTTGGACAAGTCACTTGACCTCATTCAGTTTGCCCCTCTCTAAGACATGGGTAACAGTTATCCACTTCTATGCATGCTGTGGGCCCATTGAATGGAAAGTCAACATAAATGCAAATAAATATTCAAGTTTCAAAATGTTATTTAAAAAACAAACAAAAAAACCACCCCCTTCCCCACACACTTCTCAATTTGGAGGATGGTGTCCAAGCACTTTAAAAAAAAAGCTCTAGCAAGAGAAAAAGGGCTAAACACCACAACTATAGTTTCAAAAAAAATGCTAATGCTACAGAGTGATATATCAGATACAATACAGTTTGCAGGTCTGGAAGAGAATTTTACTCCATATACTTAGTACAATACCAGTGTAAGCGCAATGATTATTGTAGTCAGTATTCTACCAAGCAGCCATAAAAATGATAAAGGAATCCAGCATTCACAGCTATATCGTCTCAAGTTTCCCTTTCTTTTTCCATCTCCACTCTTACAACTCCCATGAAAAATAAAGAAACTGTTCCTCAAAATGCTATTACACCGAAGATAAAAACACAGTCCCGTTAAAGTTCCTGGGAGTTTTGCCACTGACTTTAGTAGGACCAGGATTTCACCCTCAATCTAAATATACTGGATTTGATTGATATACTTAGCTTTAACTTACAGAGATCAGAAACAACAATTTAAAATATCTGTCAACAATGCTAAGAGATCCTGAATCTATCTACATGTAGTTCAATAGACAGTGTAAATCCTATAGTTTTTGGAAGACCAGATTCCATGGTTGCCCCTCAACACTAAGGTGGCCAGGTGCCAATTTTTGATCAAAAAGTCCAGTTAAAAAGGGGACCCAATTGTGTCCAGTTACTAAGGGCGAGGGAAGTACCTAATCGGCCAGTGCCACCTCCTATCTATGTCAGGTGGCTGCAGCTCCCAGCCCTGGCTCTGCAGGGAAGTCCCTCCTGACTATGGGTGTCAGATATCACTTAATTCAATAATTGTGTAATGACACAAAATCTTCGCGGTTACACGATTATTTGATAGTCCCCGGGGGCAGGGCCAGCTGCCAGTGTGTTCCTAGCCCCATTCCTGGAGAGACCCCTGCATCCCTGAGCTGCTGCCTCTGATATAAAGGCAGCAGCGCAGGTTGGCAGCAGCCTCTGTCCATAGGGGGCCTGAACTTCCCATGGACAGAGGATGCTCCAGCATCTAGCTTGTTGCCACCCCCTCTCATGTGGGGAGCTGGGAGAAAGGCAGCTCCACAAAACCAGCACTCACGAGTAGCTGGCTTTTGCTCCCACCTCCCCCTCTGTGGGAGGCAGCAAGGCAGGAGACAGGTGGTTTCAGAGCCAGTTCCCTGCTTGTACTGGCTCCCACCTGCCCCCGTTTCTATCAGAGGCAGCAGACCCAGAGTGGCGGAGGTGGGTGGGAGAGCAGCTCTATGGGAACCAGCTCCCAACTTCCTCCCTCCTTGCTGCCTCTGATAAAGAAGCAGTGGGGGTGGGAGGAGTGCATGTAGTTGATCAGATTAACCGATAAGCCCAGGTTCATCGGTTAATCAGTTACATGGCTATACACTAATATCCCTACTCCTGATCCAGACGGTGGAGGGAGAGGAGAGAAAGGGTGGAGCAGATGAGCAATCTACAAGAGGAGCAAATGAAGGGCAGGGCAAGGAAGTTTCCGACACTCCCGATGGGAGATTCTGTTTTTTAAATATATCAGACTTGGCAATGCTACTCAATACAATCCTTTTGCAATGAAGCTCATATAGCACAACTTGGAAACACACTGAATTCATTGGCATAGCCAGACAATCATATTTCAAACACAAAGGACTACCTTGTTGTCACCAGTTCCCCCAATACAGTAAAGTTGGGAATCTATATGGGACCAAGCTATACTTGCTGTTTACATGGTGATTTATCCAAGGAATTGTAAGACAGTGGTTACCGCTGTGCCAACCCAGCTAACTGCTTAGCAGAGTTGTCAGTGATCAAACACATCAATATTATTTAGTAAATACTGCTTTTCCTTTCTAAATGACAGGTGTATCTTGTTCCTGATAAGGTTAAAAAGATGCTAGTGTCACAATACACACATTATCTGCTGCTCTTTTTGAAAGATGTTTGTTTTTCTAGTACAGATATCTCCTACAGCTCTGCACATTTAGAACAACAATCCTTTTTCCCATACCAGTATGTGCGTCCTAAGAAGTCATTTCTCCACTCGCCAGGTCTTGGTTTTTCGTGACCTGTCTGTAACAGCCGCAGAGCAACTTCTCTTTCTTGAATAACTAAGTTTATTCTTCCCATAGACTTTTCCACCTGAAAACAATAACCGTTTCAACATGACCCTGAATCCACAATGCTGGTGACTGATCTGTGCTGAAACTGAAGATCTTTTAGGAAAAGCGTTATAGAAAAAAGGGCACATTAAGAGTTTTCATAAGTAGGAACTTCACAAGCAGGAGAATGAGTTTACTATTTCTCATATCTTATTGCACATCTTAGAAATGAATGTTTTAAGTGATCCAAAACATTCACCGTACAGTCATCCCCATTAATTGGTTGTCAGTAGGATGTGAATTAGGCACTAATGGTATTAGTTAAGGACTAGCTGGCTAAAACTCAATCCAGATAACAAGTTGACGCAAGTAGGTTGTGGAAAATAACTGGAAATATGCAGATTCTATCTGCAGTTCTGATTCAGAGTTCATGAGAATGGTTTGTTCACCAGTTGCCCACCAGTGTGTTTGGTTAGAGACTTAACTCCTATTAGATGGCCAGAAAGCTGCAATGACCAAACTAATATATGACCAGAAGCTTCTCAACATTTTTCTAATAGAAAGGAAACCCTATTACAACGATTTATGTTTGAGTAGATGAAGTCTGAAAGGTTAAAGGTAGGCAAAGAAACATGTAAGCAAACAGGAGCATAAAAAACAGACAGCAAATGTTTGAGAAGGAGGCACTGAAAAAGTGTCAGAGAGATGGAAAAAGAACCAAGAAGTCTCAGGTTCACAAAAGCCCAAGGAAGATAGAGAATGAAGGAGCTGAATGCAGCAGAAACTTCAAGGATAAGAATATGGGTGGGCTGCAACTTGGGCCAGGAAAAGATACCAGAAATGATTGTGAAAGGAGTTTCAGTGGAATGAAGAGGTGACCTGTTCTATATGATTTAACACTGAACAAGATAAGAGAGGCTTTGGAATAAGTTAACTTTTATATTGCTGTGAGAGCAAAACGAATCAAGACTATAATTCTGAGAACTGTCTTTTAAAGCTTTACAAACATTGCATCTCTCACACAAAAGTTTACCTGCAGTAATGTTTTTAGTTAATATGAAAAAGTTACCTTTTCTAATCGTTCTGGACTTGGCATAGGTAAATGTTGTCTCTTTGCTTCTTGTTGTAGAGTTAAAAGCATGTTTTTCTCTTTCAGTAGGACGTACCTGGGTCAAAGAATACAATAGCTCAATAAGGTCAGAAATTAGACTTAAGTTTTAGTGTTAACATTCTTATAAATTATTTACTTAAATGGGGATTCTCAATCACAGGGATTTCATGACCGTCTGATATCTTGGATTTCCAACGTCAAATCTGTTTGTTAGAATTGTAAGATACTTAAAAGTACACCTTAAGTAGCACAGGCAAGGAATTTAAAAAAATCTAATTTACTTTTAACAGGCTTTTTTCCTTTATCATTGCACAACACATTACTCAGGATGTGTAAACACCATTATTTACTGTTTTACAGGAAATGGAGGGACAAAGGACTAAAATAATTTATCCCAAGATCACATAGTGGCAAAGACAGGAAATAAAACCCTACAGCAGAAATTAGAACCCACTAGACCCATCCTCTGTCCATAAGACCACATATCATTTTTACATAAACCTTTTAAAAAAACAAACATTAACTGATAGATCAAGTTGGAATCTTGCACTGAAGCACAATTCACCAGTGCTACCTGAAATACACTGTACATACTCTTACAGAATTAGCATTTGGGCTGCTCCAACCCCAATGCTTTTTAAAGCGTGCACAACTGAGTAGGAGATTGAGTTCACTAGGTGAGCCATGTCTCTTCTATGAAAACTGGCACAACTATCCCAAAAGGACAGGAAACACTACACAAAAACACTTACCAAAGTTTATGCAAATCTTCATTACTTTTATTTCTTAAGTGTTTTGCATGCCACTCATCTCCTGTAAAAATAACAGCAACAAAAAAAAGTGACTTCAATGGAATAATCCATTTTCTGGAAAAAAAAAAAAAAAATTCCACACCATATTGATTCCCTGGAAAGAACGTCAAACTGCAAAACACCAATTTTTGCAAGTTTTCCTTGTAAGTGACATTAAATAGTGACCAGACACAAGAAAACAAGACCATGCTCAAATGTAAAAGTAATTATGTACTGTCCCCAAGTACTTATAGCAGACGTTCAGAGCAAGGGAAAGTTGTAGGCAGAACCAGAGAGACAGAGGGAGACAGATATACAAGTAGGTTTAGGGATAATACTGTTTTCCTTATTCTAATAAAGGTCCTTGTTCAGTATTGGAGATGCAACCCTTTTCGTGATCTCTCACCACATGAAAATATGGCTGAAGACAACACACTGGGCTATAGGGCTTAGACATTTTGACTCTGCTCAATATTCCACTTATATTTAAAATCCTGCATATTAATTTGTGCATTTTCAACTGCAGAAGTATATCAAAGATACTGTGACAGGGAAGGTTAA